TATATGTGAGAAAGTTTCAGAAGAAGGTTGTATAACTACATGTCTTAGAAAAATCTGTACATAAATTCGTATCAGCAGAGTGAATGATCTGGAACGCCCATCTTGGGGCACAGCTCGGCCTCACAAATAACACAACAATTTACAGATGTACGGAATTATTTAAAAGGACTGCGGAGGGTATCTGCACTGCTTCAAGGGAAGGAAAATTGGATAACTGGGGTGGATGAAATGGATCGCTTGCAGTTTAATGTAGTAAACCGGGATTATCTTTACGATTTCAAAGAGAGAGAACAACGACTTACTCGGGATGATAATGAGAGAAGACTTTCTTGTGAGCCGAAGGATGAGAGGGTCTGTCGGAGGAATGTCTGCGCTGAAGGTCTGTGATCGAATGGGTGGACAGGAACTGGTTCTTGATCTGATTGACATGGCCGGCGGAGAGTTTGAGTGAGGAAGTCGGATGGGGATGATGGTTGTTCGGATGACTCGGGGGAGGAGAGGAGAGTGAAGAGGAGTCGGGTGAGCTGGTAGTAGTAGTAGTAGTAGTGCTTATATTATTGCTCTGTTGGTTGAGAAGGAAGGAGAGTCGGGGTGAGTGCTCGGTTGGGGCTGGTGGTGAGCGGGGAGAGGTTTGGAGTGAGATGGAGCGGGACTCGAAGAGGGCTGCAGTTGCCTTGACCTTGCTGAGCTTGATGCCGACGAGGTCTCGTGGTGAGGAGGATGAGTTGGTTCGGAAGGAGGATGAGATGGAGGTGGGTGCAGTTTGTGCTGATATTGGTGCTGTTAGTCTTTGCTGTTGGGAAGATGAGCCAGCTGGGTTGATGAGCATGGATAGGGTGGAGGTGGATGGACTAGTGCTCATGGTGCTACTCGAGATCTGGGCCGAGGGAATATTATTCATCTTCTTCTTTGCTTCTTCTTCTTCTTCTTCCTGTTTTGAGGGAGGGAGGGAGGGAGGGAGGTCAAGAGAAAGAAAGAGAGAGGAAGAGTACTAGGTCCAGCTGGGTTGTCATTTCGACCGTCGCTTGATGATTGTAGTCAACAAGGCTTCTCACACCGAAATACAATATGCACTGTATACACCTTCGGCTGGCGTCGTCATATCATCATCATCAGTCAAACTTGTTACACCAAAACAAAAAAACAAAAACAATCATTTAAATCAATGTTTGTGGAATGAATGAAGAACATATCGAACAACAAAAAAACTCAACTTGTCTTTCGTAAATAATTATAATCAAGTTGCACAAGACACTCATGAGAAGCAACACTCTACAAACTTGCACCATGCAGTCCATCCAAAACAAATGACCAAAAAATTCAACAACAGAATTCTTGATCAACAGTTACAAATTTATGAGCTTACCAACATGGGGACCAAGGGAGTTTTTTTTTTATTTGGATTTTGTTGAGTTCATTCACTCCTCTGGCCTACATACTCTCCCCCAAAATCACGACTCTCTCCCTTTCCCAGATTTTTCTCCCTTTCCCTTTCTTGAATCATCAGCTTGAGGCCTAGACTGAATTATCGTCGTCTTTCATAGCCTGTAGTTTTTTTGTTGAAACTTATGCACTTTATATAGATTAAGTCTAATTAGAACTCCCAACAGCAAATTATTTATAACCAACTACTCTTTAATTGTCTTTGTGACTGATCTCTTTCCTTTTTCTATTTTCACTCTTTGATCTAGAAAAATATTATTTGGAGTCACCCCTCTAAATATTGTGCTAGATTCTGACTTTTTTTTTT